TGAATGAAAATAGTTACAATCATATGAGCCTCGAAGCAAAGAATGTAGATGCAATGGATTGAGGTTTGAACAACGGATCAACATCATGGCACACGGCTCCATGCGTGCTCCGTTCTTCTTCTAACTCAAGTCTAAGTCCAAAGAAGCTCGACACAGTGCACGGGCTCTGTAGCACCGGCGAGGATTCTGAAATACTTTGAGTCGATTTTGAACTCCAAATTATGCCCAGGCAGCGCCATTAGGCTACTTTTTTTTCGATTTCCAACTGCCAAGGGATTTTATTTACGTGCACAACAATGCACACGGACGTCCGATGACACTTCACAGAGACCGGGGTGGGGTGGGAGGGGGATGGGAGGGGGGGGGGGAGAGGAATTACTAGAAGTCTAAGTCAATGGGGGAAAATCCCAGCCCTTATCGAGGATGGAACCAGGAATCTCTAGCACTCGAGGCGGACATCATGCCTCGAGACCACGCAGTCCCCCTGCGGATGAAATGATGACTACATAACCCACCCGTTGTCAACTGCCTACCATTTAGTAAATAGCCAAACAATGATAAGTAAAATAAAAGACCCTTTTCAACGCTTTCGGTCGTATTGGGGAAATAAGACTAGACCTGTATTTTACAGACAAACGGCAATTGGTGGGAGATGTGGTCAGCATCACACTGACCGCCTTTACTTCACTGGACTGTACCTGGTACCCACTCAAGGCTAGGTCGACCTGGGAGCCAAGGTCATTTTTGAAAGTCCGACCTTTGTCAGGACCCGAATCAATGATCTTCCGATCCGCATCCGAGAGTCTAGCCGCTAAGCCACGGCGGCTCCCGAAAAGAATTGTGCTTCTAACATACATAAGCAGGACAAGTTTCCCCACGCTGACACCAGAGACAGAAGTTATACGTAATGAAACGAAAAACCGACGTGCACGCCCACCATCCTCCGATGTCTCCGATAGAGCGTTTCACTAGAGCGCCATACTTTTTATCCAACTTTAAATGCTGCACAGATAAGATATCGGTAAAAAATTAGTTTGCATTCACAGCAGTGGATAGGACGTAGACCTTATCTTGTGGTTTTATAAATACTATTTAAGAGGAGATAACTAGTGTTTGCAAACGGCGCTGTGATGATCTTGAACTTAACACGATATGAAAGTCAGATAGGGAAATCGGAGAGAAATTTGTTCGCATTTATAATATTCTTGTGTTGATAAACTTTATCGAAACTTTAATAAATACAATATGGCGAAATTCTGATTCTCCGAGGTGAGGCGGGGAAATGTTTAGCTTAAACGGAAATGAATTTATCTGTTAAAAGTTTCCACACTTGTTAATGTGGTAAATTATTATCTCTTGCAGACGATAAGGCATGGTGTCTGTGGTCAGTCTGTTGGTAGGAACATACGGGGTGGGGGAGGGTACGCAGTACTGGTACTTTTTTGGCATACATTTTTTTTTTAAATCACCACTGTAATCTTTACTTTATTGTGAGTGTCGGCACCTGTATTCAACACCCCATGGTGGGTGCCGGCACCTGTATTAGTCACCCCAGAGTGAGTACCGTCACCTGTATTTGACACTCTTGGGTGAGTACCGGCACCTGTATTAGTCACCCCAGAGTGAGTACCGGCACCTGTATTAGACACCCCCGGGTGAGTACTGGCACCTGTATTAGAAACCCCAGGGTGAGTACCGGCACCTGTATTAGACACCCCCGGGTGAGTACTGGCACCTGTATTAGACACCCCAGGGTGAGTACCAGCACCTGTATTAGACACTCCAGGCTGAGTACCGGCACCTGTATTAGACACCCCATGGTGAGTACCAGCACCTGTATTAGACACCCCCGGCTGAGTACTGGCACCTGTATTAGACACCCCCGGGTGAGTACCGGCACCTGTATTAGACACCCCCGGGTGAGTACCGGCACCTGTATTAGACACCCCCGGGTGAGTACCGGCACCTGTATTAGACACCCTTGGGTGAGTACTAGCACCTGTATTAGACACCATTGGGTGAGTACTGGCACCTGTATTAGACACTCTTGGGTGAGTACTGGCACCTGTATTAGACACCCTTGGGTGAGTACTGGCACCTGTATTAGACACCCTTGGGTGAGTACTGGCACCTGTATTAGACACCCTAGAGTGAGTACCGGCACCTGTATTAGACACCCCCGGGTGAGTACTGGCACCTGTATTAGACACCCTGGGTATATTAAAATGTATAATAGTGCAAGCCTGTATGTGCATGCCTGTATGTGCAAGCTTGTATGTGCAAGCCTGTATGCGGGGATATGGTTTAAGTGTCGCATACAAAAGTTCAGAAAAATAACCCAGGTTTCCTGCGGTGGTTTTTCTAAAGCCCTATTTTTTTTTTTTTTACTTCCCTGGTTTCACTTAGTTTGTATTTTAAACTAATCGAATCCACTTACTGCGTCAACTAATTGCGTCGCATATATTATAGTCTGTTACCAATATCGTGCCCAACTTTAAAAAACTGTAACTTAGTAACCGTTCTTTGAAAATTTTGGAAATTAGGCATGCAATTTGGTAATAATCACGTCCTTGTTGGGAAATAATGTTAATATAAACAAACGTCTAGTTTTTGTTTGAGTATATTCGTGGTATAGAAAAAACACACACTTAAAAATAAATACAATAAGCATGTCTACACTAAATGGTAAATGAGAACACGTTGTACAGATAAGCTGAGGACATGCGTCGAACCACTTCCTTTATAATCACATGTGACCTTCTCTGACTGACTGACTGAATTTCTACCCCACTAGGACATCACACAAGCGATAAACACCCGATGTCACAAAGTGCCACCATGTGGATGAGGATCACCGTGGAGAGGTCCCAGAAACCGCGTTCAGACAATTGACCATATTTTTGGCCTGCCTATATTGCGGCCCCTGGCAAAAGCCAGGGTGGTTCTTCAAATAACAAAAAATTTCGTCCTGAAAAGGACGAAATACATATCATCCCATGCTAATATAAGGCGATAACCTTCTCACCTGAAAGCCACTGGCAGAGAGATGAAAAAGAAAAAGAAAGAAGAAGACTAGATGGTTGATTATGCCTGCATCACGCCGGGCGTTTTTAATTCCCATGAAATGTCGTTGTGAGGTCACTCTTCTAACCCGCTTTAATGAGGATTCAAACACAAGGTCTCTGTGTTAGCAAACAAATCTTCTACCCGCTACGCCACTACGGCACCCTTGTAAAACATGACATTATCAAACAGAAAAGTTTGTAGCGAACTTGGAAAACTTCAGCCAGAAATTCCTAGAGTTCGGTATCTCGACACTTTAATGCCGTCATTAAGTACAGACCAAGGGGAGACAAGCTATGAGTAAACTTAGAAGGAACATGGCTGTCATCTGGCTTATCTCACATGGTAGGGTATACTACATGTAACACATAAAATATGTCCGTAACACGCTGTAACGAAAGATAGTGTTAACAGAAAGCTGAAAGTAGCCAGTGCTTGATTTAAGAGAAGTACTATCACAACATTCGGGGCATTTTCATGAACGCGCCGTCCCCATCTTCAGCAGAGTTCCAAAACTAATCGTGCCAGGAAATCTCGGTTTTACATGTAACACATGAAATATGTCCGTAACACATTTTAACGAAAGATAGTGTTAGCAGACAGCTGATTTAAGAGAAGAACCATCACAGTGATAGAGGCATTTCTATAAGTTCTAAATCCCCATCGTCAGTAGAGTTCCAAAGCTGTTGGTGCCAGGAAATCTCTACCGGACAGGACAGCAGATGGTCTTGGGTTCCAATCCGATCGATTAAGATACCGTCAGGTACGGACACCTAGTCAAGACCTTTGGTCCGATAGGCAAACGTCTAGTTACCACAACACCGTAGCTCCCTGTCGACAGCAGTAGGCTTCGTAGACATGCACGTGCTCAACCCCACACCGATGGGATGACCATAGGTGCCATTTTCCCGTGGACAGACCAGTTTTCCCGGGGGCAGTCCCGTTTTCCCAGGGGACAGTCCCGTTTTCCCAACAATTCCATTTTACCGGGACAGTCAAGTTTTCCCGGGGACAGTCCAGTTTTCTCGGGGACAATCCCACTTTCCCGGTGACAATCACATATTTAGGTGCGCCCCGGCCATCGCGTTGGTACTACTCCAAAAACGTGCTAATTATCCCTTAAAAAAATCAATTCAAATCGAGAATTAGGCTGGAGTATAGAAGAGACACTTAACAGTTATATCTGTAAACCTTATTTCATAGTTTTTAAATACTTTTATTGCCACAAATGTGTTGATGATAATTTGTAGTATTCCCCCTCCCCCTTTATCCTCCCGAAATTCGTAGTTATTTTTTTTTTAGCATATTGTTTCGTTTACTTCTTGGTGTCAATAGTTCTGGTTTTAATAACATTGTCGTGCTAAGAAATAGCCCGCTCTCTCCGGTAACTTAGCAAAAGAAAGACGAGAGAGAGAGAGAGAGAGAGAGAGAGAGAGAGAGAGAGAGAGAGAGAGAGAGAGAGAGAGAGAGAGAGAGAGAGAGAGAGAGAGAGAGAGAGAGAGAAAGAGGATTTACTTACTTGCTCATAATCTCCAGTATTCATCTCAAAATAATGTGGGTTCCCCGTAAGGGATTCGGAGTCCCGTTGTGGGGAAACAAGAATAGACACACTGCCTACCCAAAAAGCATATCGTAAGAGTTGACTAATTATGGAGCTTCTTTTAAAGTCGGAGTGCATCTGCCTGATAGGCAAGGAACCAACAGTCTGTATTCAAGTAAATCAGATTTGTAAAACTGATGCACACGCAACACTCAGGTTCTGGAACAGGAATGTAGTTCAGAAGTGGACAAACAACCAGAACTTTCCGCCTGAGTTTACAGCTGGTGAACGCGAAGAAGAAGAAGAGGAAGAACTCAAAATAGTAATTTGATGTCCTGTCTCAAGCTATCATGGCCCCCTATGCACAGACAAACACAGACAAACACACGCAACTCACCGACCCAACTTGGTGACGATCATCTCAGTGCCCAGCACATCAAAGTCGTCCCACAGTTGCTTCATCTCCAGCTGAGCCGTCACATTCAGAAGCTTCAGATGCAGCGGTTTGTTGGCCACCTGAGTTTTGCCCAGGCTTTCTCCAGGAGATCCTCTGTTTCCGTCTGCATCCTCGGACTTGGGACAGCCTGAGGACAAGTCGCCACAGTTGTTAGGAGACTCGTCCGAGTCACGCTTCCCGTCTTCTGCTTCTGGCGATGGCCGGTTGGTGCAGGAGAGGTGGTTGGGGACTGGGTTATGGTCAAACCTCAGAGAGTCAAAGATTCTTCCCATTGTTGACCCCGAGCCGATCACACATGCTGGATGTAGATATCAATCAATCACATCAATTATTTGAATAATTAATCAATTAAACAGTGAGTGAGTCAGCCAGACAGTCAGTCAGTCTGTGTGTCTGTCTGGCTCTTTGTCTGTCTGTCTGTCTGGCTCTTTGTCTGTCTGTCTCACTGTCTGTCAGGTAGGTAAGTATAAAGGTAGGTAGGTAGATAAGAAGGTAGGTAGTGGTTAGCTACTTAGGCAGCAAATAGATAGTAAGCAGTTAGGTAGGTATATGGGTTGTCTTGTAGGTTGATATAAACGCAGGTAGATATGGGGACAGGTAGTAGGTTTGTTAGTATGAAGATAGATATAGACAGACAGACAGACAGACAGACAGACAGACAGACAGACAGACAGACAGACAGACAGACAGACAGACAGACAGACAGACAGACAGACAGACAGACAGACAGACAGACAGACAGACAGACAGACAGACAGACAGACAGACAGACAGACAGACAGACAGAGATAGATAGATAGATAGATAGATAGATAGATAGATAGATAGATAGATAGATAGATAGATAGATAGATAGATAGATAGATAGATAGATAGATAGATAGATAGATAGATAGATAGATAGATAGATAGATAGATAGATAGATAGATAGATAGATAGATAGATAGATAGATAGATAGATAGATAGATAGATAGATAGATAGATAGATAGATAGATAGATAGATAGATAGATAGATAGATAGATAGATAGATAAATTTGGAGTTAAAAATCTACTCAAAGTATTTCAGAATCCTCGCTGGTGCTACAGAGCCTGTACAACGTGCTGAGCTTCTTCGGACTCAGACTTGAGTTAGGAGAAGAACGGAGCACTCATAGGTTGCTACCTGTGTGCAGTGACGTTGATCCGTTGTTTTGATCCGTTGTTCAAACCTCAAACCTCTCTTCTTCTTCTTCTTCTTCTTCTTCTTCTTCTTCTTCTTCTTCTTCTTCTTCTTCTTCTTCTTCTTCTTCTTCTTCTTCTTCTTCTTCTGCTTCTTCTTCTTCTTCTTCGTATTTTTCTTATATAAAAAAAGTAGACGACTACGAAGTGCACTGACTGACTGACTGACCTTCTACCCCACCAGGGTATCACACAAGTGATAAACACCCGATGACACAAAGTGCCACCATTCCCAGGGATTTCAGCATTAGAGGCCCAGGTGGTAGTAAAGAGAGAGACACACACACTCACACACACAAAATCAGCGCATTTTGCGTTCTTGGGCTTCTAAGTTAGAACCATTTAACGTAGGGTGCGTTCCTTGAGACTGAGTTGAGGGATGACCGATTCCCTTTCCCAGCCGTGGTTCTTGCATGGTCAGAGCTGCACAGATCATTAACAGGACCGAACCGTTGCAGAACCACATAAACAGAGACACAGACAAACCACACCAGTTGTCTCAAACCTGTTTTTTTTTTTTTTCTGGTGGCGTCCCCTGGAGTGTATGTGAAGCTTCCCCAAGCCACCCCCACCCCATTCACCAAAACAAAAACAAAAAAATGTGATTTTAAAAGAGGAATACCACAGCTTTTTCAACACTGTTAACAAGAGCTTGAAGGGGAAAAAAAAAATGTCACATAAATCAAAGTGTTAAATAACAACATAAACAATCACCAGCAATTGTTAATTTTTGCGTCCAGGGGTTTTCGTGGCGAAGTGGTCAAGTCGTTTGCCTAGCGCTCTGAAGGTCATGGGTTTGTTTTACGGCTGCGCCCTTCAGTTCACGAGCGCGATTTTTACAGAGATTCATGGGGATCGTCACTGGAGCTACTGATTTCGGTCTCTCGTGCTGGGGCGAGGGAGGGGGTGGTGAGGTTCGCAAGGCGGGATCAAGGGGCCTGATATAATATATGCGTAATAATAATAAACTAGCCTATAAATATAATCATATCTCGAAAGCTGAGGTATTTTTAACATATCAAACGCCATGGCCTGGAAAGAAATTTAATGGAAGGTAGAGTTTCCAGAAAACGAGACAGGAGTCGACCTCGGGGAAGGTGGAAACAAGACATTGAAGAAGAAAGCACACAGGACTGGAGAATGGCTAAAGACAGAGTGTGACGTTCTGTAGCGGAACTGAATAATAGTAATATTAATAATAATAATACTAATAATAACGACGCTGTTTCACATCTCCCGACTTTACCTTTAAAGTCGAAAAAAAAAAGTAAAGTAGGACCCTTTTCCATACCTTCAGAGGATTGGGCATATAGTGCTACACATTGCATAGACCAATCGGTATTCGGTGGGTAATATGGTCAGCATCACGCCGGCCGCATTTACTTCTGAGTACTACTATACCTGGTACGTTATCAAGGCTGGGTCGACCTGGGAGCTTACACAATTTTTGAGAAAAGTCCGGCTTCGTCAGCAGTTTGTTACCGTATTTTATTTGTCATCATTTTTCGGCCATGTTATGAGAAGAGGGAAAAAAGAAAGTGCTGTGACCACTTTAAAGATCTGTGGAAGGAGGGATAGAGGAAGACAACGAGAGAAGATTCTTGACAGTCTTGTTGCATGGCATGGAGGTGTGTCGGCACACGAACTGATACATGCTGCAGGAGATCACAGATTATGGAGAGGCATGATAGCCCACGCCAGTTGGCAAGGCACCTGATGATGATTTTGTTTGATTGTTATATTGTTATTATTATTTGCCATTTAGATTATTATTATTATTATTATTATTATTAATATTATTATTATTATTATGTTGGAGGTACTTCAGGGGAGAAACTAAGGCGAACTATTTTGAACACTGGAGTGGATTCGTCATGTACTGCCATAATGCTTGTTGACTGCCTGATTTGTCTAAGTTACTGTATATTTTTTTTAACGTCAGGGTAGAGATTTAAAGCCACATGCACAAATTCGTTTTGATCCGCACAATAATGTTTCGAGATATTTGTTTATAGTTTGAGGGCACGACTTTTAAAACGGACCATAAATCGATTCAAGCTGTGGCAAATTTGGCACACGGCCTCTTTGCGGTAATTTTGACAATGCTATCGAAAGCCAGACGTTGAAGTTAGTCTTCCCTCTTGAGCCAAGGTCGTCGCATAGTGCAGAGGTCACAGCTCTCCATGTCTGACGGTTCGCTGCCACCTGGTTTAGGTCTTGGATGTTTATTAGGCCAATTTTAGAGCTATAGAAATGATTCTAAGAAAAAGAGTGTTTTACGATTGCCGCTAGTCGGGTCGTCGATCAACAGTCTTAAGCCAAGCTACAGCGGAACACGTTCCGCCATCTTGGCCGAAACCGGAAACTAGCAATAGCAAACTACTTAATGTAAATTGCTTTTTAAAATCACAAAAATTATAGAGCTTTCTCTGTAATGTAATATAAAGGGGACATAAGCAACTTTAAGAATCCTCTCAACTATAATATCATGAACGTAGACTCTCTTTTACTACTTTCTGTATTCACCACTTTTGAGACGACGTAGATGAAGGCGCTGGGGGGGAGGGGGGGGGGTCGTGAGCTTGAGGATTTAGGACCGCCATGGCTGTCGCACGGACTGTGCAGGTCAGAATGGTTAATAGCCCCCCCCCCCCCCCCCGCCTCTCCCACCCTCAGACGTAAAAACTCTGGGGGTCGAACCCGGGTCTCATACATAAGAACTCTTCTTTGTAACGGCTCAGCCACCAAAGTACCATAACAAGAATTAATCTTAATTAGTATTTTCAGAACTGAACGGGTGAATAAAAAAATATTACATTCACGTGCTTGTTTATGCAGGCTTGTTTTACCTTCCCTAAGCAAATATATCTATATTTAATTTGGCAACTCTGCGCCTAGGATAAATACAACAAAGCGAAATCGCACCTGTGAGGTCAGTTTACTCCCAGGTTTGTGTTTCAGTTAGTGACAGCCGGACAATCATCACCATGCAACAGGTCCTTTGCAGAACGTCGTTCTCATTACGGTCTGTCTAAAAGAAACTCCGTTTCTTGCTAGTTCTCGCGCCTCGTCTACTTTTATGTTGAAGGAGTCACTTATTTCCTGCGCCCATCTTCGTGTTGGTCGGGCCCTGCCTCTCCTTTCTGTTATCATGCCTTTTGCTGTTAGTTTTTCCAGTCAGCCATGGCGCTTGATATTCCCAAAATATTTTAGCTTCCGAGACATGATGCCAATCGTCCTTGATGTTCAGATCTTTTCAAATGTCAATATTTCTCATCTTCTTTGTCCCTGGCATTCTGATAATTTTTCTACAGCATTTCAGCTCGAAACTGGAAAATATAATATAAAGAAAAAAATCGTTTATGAGGTCTGCTAGCCCATTTTGGATGAAATAAAAGAATAGACCTAAAGTCCTCTCAAAAAGCCCATTTTAAACTGCGACTAATCAGGGATTTGCTAAAATCGGATGTGATAGACCCAAAGAATCAGATATCGCAGTCTAGCTGTAAACCAGAACATACCGTGACAACAGCAATTGTTCGTGTGACCACAGAAAAGGAAGAATCTAAGAATGATAAATAAATACGTCGGTGATTTGTCAGCATTGCATAGGAGGGACAAGAACACAGCATTGCATGGGAGGGACAAGAACACAGCATTGCATAAGAGGGACAAGAACACAGCATTGGATAAGAGGGACAAGAACACAGTATTGCATAGAAGGGACAAGAACACAGCATTGCATAGGAGGGACAAGTACACAGAATTGCATAAGAGGGACAA